CGGGGGTTGGGGGGGAGGTGAAGCACCTTTGGGCCTGGGCTGGCTTGGGGGAATTCTGGGAGTTGAAGTCTTTTTTTTCAAGTTCCCAAGGTGGGAGAGATAAATCCCTTTGCCCTGGTCACCCACTTCGCCCATGCCAGCCGGGAAGGAGGCCGATCCTCTTCAAGGGCAGGAGGGGGAAGCCGGCCAGCGACCCCTCCCGATCCCTCTTCCCACCCACCCACCCCTTCTCTGTCTCCCTCCCTCTCCCCACATCCCAAAGGACCCTTCGCTTTCCATGCCCACCTGGGCTGGTTGGCTGGCAGGGGGAGGCGCCCTGTTGGCCGTCGACCCCCGCCTCCCCCGGCCTCTTGCGGGGGTCCGCCTGACGCCTCCCCCGCTCCAGCGGAGGGGGGGAGGATAGGATGCTCTCCGGAGTGGCGGGCGCCGTTGCTAAGGCTGGAGCATCTCTGGGTACCGCTGGCGCAGCTGCATCCTCCACTTGCGGGAAAGCGGCATCCCCCATCCGCCGGCTCCATGAAGCGGGGCCCGTCCTCCTCCTCCTCCTCCTCCCCCTCCTCCTCTTCTTCCTCCTCTTCCTCCTCCAAGGGCAGGGCTGCCCGTTGGAGCTGAGCGATGGCAGCCGCCCCCCCTCCGCTCTCCCTCTGCCGGGTCAGCCCGTCCGCTGCGGCTGGTGCTGAGTAATCCGGCGCCGCGGTCAATGGGCGAGGAGACGGAGCCCCCTCCGAAGATCAACCAGGGCTTCCTTCGGGATCACAACTATGTGACTGAAGGTAAAAAGAAACGCGTCGCCGCGACCCTCTCCCTCCATCCCCTGCATCCCCCGCGCTCCTCTTTTGCCAGGGCGCATTTGGCGGAGGATGCTGCGGAAAAGCCGAGGGAGGAGGGGGAAATTGGGCACGGCCATCTCCTGCTGGATGGGTGGGTGGGGGGGATATGGAAAGCACAGCCTGCAGGATTGGGGGGTGGGGTGTCCCTGCGGAGCCAGCGGGCTCCCCCTGGGTAAAGGCCACCTGCATCTCGCCCTCCGCTTGGATCCCTAGGGAGGAGGTTGCCCAGATAAGGCCAGGTTTTAAGGCAAGCATCTTATCCGGATGGGCAGGAGGGAGAGAGGCAGCCTGGGAAGAAGGGTGTGTGTGTGTGTGTGTGTGTGTGTGTGGGGGGGTTTGCCAGCTTGTCTCTCTCTCTCTGCCCTCCCTTGCCAATGTTATATGCAGCACCGCCAAGCCTAGCATGGCCTCCTCCCTGGGGCTCCAGGAGGTCTATCGATACCCCCCCACCCTCCTGCACCCCTGGAGATTTCTGGGGGTCCTGCTTTCTCTTGAAATAAGAGCCAAGCTGCCCTCCCATCCCGACATTTTCCTCCTTCATCCCGAAGGAGGAAAAAGCCCGAACCAAAAGTTTGGACAGGGTATCCTTTCTGCTTCTTCTTCCTGTGGGAGCTCTTCGAGGGGGACCGTTTGGATGCTCTCTCTCTCTCTCTCTCTCTCTCTCTCTCTCTCTCTCTCTCTCTCTCTCTCTCTCTCTCTCTNTCGAATGTCGGAGAACTTTGTGTGAGCTTGGCAGGCTGGATTGCTGCCAAACCTTATCTGTGTTTATTGCTGCCCAAGCTTGTCTGTGCTGGATTGCTGCCAAGGATCTGTTTGTCTGTTAATTAAATGCTGTAATTCATCTCTGGCTCGGAGTGTGTTTTGGTGTGGAACGAGGGGGGGTCAGAACAGAGGGGTACCTTATTATTTGGAGGGGTCTCTTTTCTAGCCCAACAGGGCCATGAAGAGAGGGACTTTACTAAGGTGCAAAATGCACAAGAAACACAAATTCTCCTTCAAAGGAAACAGCAGATCCCTGAAATCCTTTGCTGAAGATAAGACAATCTGGTCTGCGTTTACAGACCGGGAATACATTGTCCCCATACCTAATAACACTGCGGATAAAGAGGGCCACGTGCACCCTCTTCTCTGAAGGGATGAAGTCATAAATCATGATACTTTCAGGAGAGAGATGGCACCTCTTCTTTGTTCAAAACTTCCTGTCAATTGTTATCTGTGACCCTGTTGGATTTTAGCCCTGAAGTTAAGAACTTTGCATGGATGTAAACCCATTCTCCACCCAAACGTCTTTTAACTTCACAACAGCTTTTCCCCACAGCCCAAAAAAATAATAAAAGCTATACAGTGCTAATTCACCATACTATATTTTCTCATTTTTCTTCCACTGTGTTCAAGTGCAATGGCCTCTATAGGACGGTGAGCATTCTTTGTTCCTGTGATAACAGCCCAGAGGGATTTATACCTTTATATTTGGCCTTACTTCTTTGCTAATGATGATAACACTATTACACAGTGTTAAAGGAAGAGTTATAGGAAAAAAAGGAGGAAGATACGCATAATTGAAGTCTTTTTGTCCATTCCATACACATATGGGAAATGATAAAATATTGCAGTGGCTTTTATGAAATAAAATACGTTGGTGCCTATGATTCAGTCTCCTTCATTTCTTAGGAAGAGGAATCCCATAGGAAACAATTGCAGGAAATGAACAACCAGATGGCTGCAAACAGAATTGAGGAACTGGAGAAAGCAAAGCGAGGCCTTGAGCTAGAAGTAAACTTCAACAAGAAGCGATGGGAAATAGAGACATTGGCTGCCAGAGAGGTAAACAAACTAACTTCCTCTGTTAGTATTTTTCTCCAGTATCTTCAAGAACATGTGAGTCCTTGAGTAGATCTCTTCCATGAAATCCATGAAACTTATCCTATTAGAAATTAACAACATCACTAATGTATTATCCAGTTGTATTAAGTTGAGGCTATAAAGTGTTAGATACTTAGAGTCTTATTAGCAGGAATCAAAATTAATGAATTGTTAGTTACATTTATAAAGCTAGGCCCAACTAATTGACTCAAAACTGTTTACCACCAGTAAAAGAATTCCCAATGAGATGGGACAATTTGATAAAATGAATACAATCTAAAAAAAACATGATTGATTGATTTGATTGATTTCATTTCATTTCATTTATATGCCGCCCTTTTCCCCGAAGGGGACTCAGGGCGGCTCACAATTCAAATCAGGGAAGGGGGGGTACAAACAGGAAATAAAAAGACGAAACATAACAATGCATAATTTAAAAACACACAACAGTCATACCATTCGAGACGGGGGGCAAGTCTTAAAGTTGCCAAGGTTGGAGACCACTGATTTAATGTAAAAAGAGCCGAGGTGGCACAGTGGTTAGAGTGCTGTACTGCTGACTGTTATCTGCAGTTCAGCTGTTCAAATCTCACCGGCTCAGGGTTGACTCAGCCTTCCATCCTTCCG